ACCGTCTTGACCGGGGCCTCTCCATGCCTGGCCTGCAACCCACAATGCAGTTTGGGTTGATATGTGCTTTAGTGGCTACATTCATGGAGTGTTGTGAAGCCAAAACAGAGTAATGGTCTTCTGTTGAGGAGTTTTGGTAATTTAAATTCCCGGACTGTCATTGCTCGTTAAAAGTGCTGTTTCGTGGTTGGAAATCAGGTAACCATTGCATTTTATTAAGATCCACAGAACTGACTTCAATGGGACCTGCGTGTTGTGTTGTCTTAATCTTTGTATTCAAGTCTGTCAGTGTGAAAAGCTATTTGCATGTCCATGCAACCACACTTAAGTTGCGGCCCTCGGCATGTGCTGTGAGTATCATTGTGGCCCCTGGGGCTTTCAAAGCTGAGTAGCCCTGATCTAGATCATCCCCTGATGTCCGTCTAACCCACTCGTCAGCGAGACAGAAGGGTTGAATTTTAAATACTCAAACTGTATCATGACCCATCCCTAAGATCGAGAAACCCTTTGGCCCTTCTGATGTTGCCAGACTGGGTCAGCCCAAAGGTCCATCTATCCCACTGTCCTGTCTTCCAACAGTGGCCAATGCCAAGTGCCCCAGAGGGAGGGAACAGAACAGGGAACCAAGTGATCCCTCTCCTGTCACCCGTTCCCAGCCTCTGACAAACAGGCTAGAGATACCATTCCTGGCTATCATGGGGCTGGCCACAATTGATCATCTAGGATAGCTCCCTGTCAACAATTTATCCTTGACTTAAATATTGCGATAATATCCCTTCCCAGAAAGGGGAAGATAGTAGCTTTGATGGTTCCAAACCAAGTGCTGCAGTTGGGTGCAGGCTGAATGGTGAAACCAGACCAACACAAATCCACCTTCAGCATTAAACTGCTCCCACCAACTGTGCTCGGCTCCTGGGAGGGAGCTGGGATTGGTCAAGGGAACATGTCCACGATCAGATGATCTCCAGAGGCCCCAACCAAGGTTGGGCTGCACTGTGCCGAGAGGGGGACAAAGTCACTCTCTAAAAGATGGGTGAAGGGTGGGGATGGGGCACAAAGGTGAAGTAACTTGCCCTTCCCCCTCTCTCTCTCTTCTCCCTCCTCCCCTCTTCTC